CCTGTGTAGTTATTCATTAACGAAGGAACCGTATTCTAAAGTGTTACCCTGTGGTGGATAAGAGATAAGTGCTGTTGATGTTTGGATTGAGAAATGAGAAATCTGGTGGAGGACATGATGAGAGGATAAGTGCTGTTGATGTTTGGACTGTGATATGAGAAATCTGTTTGGAGGATGTGATGAGGCTGCATGAAGTGTAATTTTGTCTGTTTGGAGGAAGTTGAATGTCCCACGCTCCATTGGAAGAAGTCCAAGAGATTGTGAGAGGTGCAGTGGACCAGACCCCCTGTCTCCGCCCTAGTTTGTGAGTGACGAGACTTTGCAGTGTTGTTCATTAATATAAACACGTGTGCAGATTTGTGCGAGTTGCAGTTGAGCACGAGTGGAGGTGTAATGCAGTGACATTGGGGAAGCGGTCCTGGCTGTGGAGACATCGTCCGCGACTCATTGGATGGAGACCATTGGAAGAAGTCATCTAGTGGTGAAATTCTCCTTTTCTCCTCTTTAATCGTTACGGGGCATTGTGAAGTGTTAGTTTGCTGTGGAATCCTCATCTCCTCTCTGTCTGAGCCCTGTGAATAGAGCCAGCTTTGCTGTGGAATCCTCATCTTCTCTCTGTCTGAGCCCTGTGAATGGAGCTAGCTTTGCTGTGGAATCCTCATCTTCTCTCTCTGTCTGCCGGAGCCTTGTGAGTAGAACCAGCTTCGCTGTTGAATCCTCATCTTCTCTGTCTGAGCCCTGTGAATGGAACTAGCTTTGCTGTGGAAACCTCATCTTCTCTCTGTCTGAGCCCTGTGAATGGAGCTAGCTTTGCTGTGGAATCCTCATCTTCTCTCTCTGTCTGCCGGAGCCTTGTGAGTAGAACCAGCTTCGCTGTTGAATCCTCATCTTCTCTCTGTCTGAGCCCTGTGAATGGAACTAGCTTTGCTGTGGAAACCTCATCTTCTCTCTGTCTGAGCCCTGTGAATGGAACTAGCTTTGCTGTGGAAACCTCATCTTCTCTCTGTTTGCCTGAGCCCTGTGAATAGAGCCAGCTTCGCTGTAGAAACTTCATCCTCTCTCTCTCCGCCTGAGCCCTGTGCATAGAACCAGCTTCGCTGTTGAATCCTCCTCTTCTCTCTGTCTGAGCCCTGTGAATGGAACTAGCTTTGCTGTGGAAACCTCATCTTCTCTCTGTCTGAGCCCTGTGAATGGAGCTAGCTTTGCTGTGGAATCCTCTTCTCTCTCTGTCTGCCGGAGCCTTGTGAGTAGAACCAGCTTCGCTGTTGAATCCTCATCTTCTCTCTGTCTGAGCCCTGTGAATGGAACTAGCTTTGCTGTGGAAACCTCATCTTCTCTCTGTCTGAGCCCTGTGAATGGAACTAGCTTTGCTGTGGAAACCTCATCTTCTCTCTGTCTGAGCCCTGTGAATGGAGCTAGCTTTGCTGTGGAATCCTCATCTTCTCTCTCTGTCTGCCGGAGCCTTGTGAGTAGAACCAGCTTCGCTGTTGAATCCTCATCTTGTCTCTGTCTGAGCCCTGTGAATGGAACTAGCTTTGCTGTGGAAACCTCATCTTCTCTCTGTTTGCCTGAGCCCTGTGAATAGAGCCAGCTTCGCTGTAGAAACTTCATCCTCTCTCTCTCCGCCTGAGCCCTGTGCATAGAGCCAACTTTGCTGTTGAACCTTCATCTTCCCTCTGTCTGCCCGGGCCTTGTGAAGAGAGCCAGCCTTGCTGTCGAATCCTTATTCCTTTCCATCCATCTGGATCCTGTGAGTAAAGTAGTTATACTATTGCACGCCCACCTGTGTCCGCTGTCCGCCGGTGCCCTGGGAAGCGAGCCAGCTCTGTTGCTGATTCCGTACTCCTCTCCGTCCATCCGAATCCTGTGAAGAGAGAAACAGTTCTGCTGTGAATCCGAGAGAAACAGTCCCGCTGATAACTCTTACCGGTTCTCTGCCTGCCTGTGCCCTGAGAAGAGAGCCAGCTCTGTTGCTGATTCCGTACTCCTCTCCGTCCATCCGAATCCTGTGAAGAGAGAGACAGTTCTGCTGTGAATCCGAGCGAAACAGTTCTGCTGATAATTCTTACCTGTCCTCTACCTGTCTGAGCCCCGAGAAGGGAGCCAGCTCTGTTGCTGATTCCGTATTCCTCTTCGTCATCCGAATCCTGTGAAGAGAGAGACAGGCCTGCTGTGAATTCGAGAGAAACAGTTCCGCTGATAATTCTTACCTGTTCTCTGCCTGTCTGAGCCCCGAGAAGAGGGCCAGTTCTGTGGCTGATTCCGTACTCCTCTTCGTCATCCGAATCCTGTAACAAGAGAGACAGTTCTGCTGTGAATCCGAGAGGAACAGTTCCGCTAATAATTCTTACCTTTTCCTTGCCTGCCCGAGTCCTGAGAAGGACCAGTTATACGGCTGAAACCTCACCTTCCTCCAGTTGGTTTGAGGTTGTTTTTACTTAATTTATTCAATAAAGATTCTGTGTTTTTCTACATTACTTTGCCTCTGTGTCCTCTGTGGTGTTGGCTCCTCGCGGTGGTACGTGAGTCGGGGGCTGGGACGGCCGGTCATCTGGCGTCCACTTCTCCCCCGACCCGGTGACAAATGTGTAAAAGAATGCACATTATTGCATTCTGCTATCGGAATTCGGCTCCGTTAGATTGAGAGAATTACAGAGATATCAAACATGTCACATGAAGATTATAGGAATACAGAGTTACATAAGATATGCATTTTATAAGCATTTAGTTCCTTCAAAGCAAGTTTGTTCCTTCGAACAAACGTCATACATGCAGTGAATATAAACTGAGAAACACACAGGAGTATAGGAAACATTGACATGCTTATATTCTAAGTTTAATGTTCAAAGTTCGTGTATGTGTGTGCGTTAATGTGTGATTGTCCTTCAGCGTTCAGGCAGCTTTGTGGACTCTTCCCCCTTTCAGGGGGGGGGTCAGGATGTGTGTCCCGTGAGACGGCGAGGTTTGCATCAGGGGAACGGGTGACCACAACGCTTGGCTTGTTTTCAATGTGTCATGTGCCAGGGAGATCCCAGTCATAGTGGCGTCCCCCTGCTGGTCAACATGCCCGAAGGGGGTTGTGATGATTGGTTGTAATGTCATAGGGTAACAGAGGGGGGCAGTAGTGGGGGCCGGAAAGTTAAAAGCACAATACTGGCATGGATGAATAAAACAGAGAAAATGTTCATGAAAAAGATGCAGTTTATTTCATGCACGACAATAAACAAAACATGGTACCAGGAGTAAAAATCTAAACGGGGTGCGTTGTGAAAAGCGACATGGATTCTTTGAAGCCACCGAGTTGTCTAAAACTAAAGGGGAATGTCGACAGCAATTGGCGCACCTTCAAGCAGCAGTTTCAGCTGTATATCGCGGCCATGGGCCTAGAGACGAAGCCGGACATTAGGAAGGTAGCGTTACTGCTAACTATAGCAGGCCCTCAAGCCATAGAAGTGTACAATACCTTCGTGTATGATAATGCTGATGACAAAGATGAGCTGGATAAAGTGCTTGAGAAAATTGATGCCCACTGCTCTCCGAAAAAGAACGAGACATATGAGAGATATGTTTTTCGCTCAAGAGTGCAGCAACAGCGCGAACCTTTTGATAATTTTCTGACCGACCTGAATCTTAAAGCACAGTCATGCAATTTTGCTATACTGAGGGACTCCATGCTCAGAGACCAGATTGTGTTTGGTGTGGAGGATAAAAAAGTCAGGGAAAGGCTACTGAGGGAAACGGAGCTGACGTTGGAAGGGGCTATCAAGATCTGCCAGGCAAGTGAGCTTTCGCAAATGCATGTAAGGACATTCAGTGAGATGACGGCGTCGGCGAGCACAGCGAGCGTCAGAGAAAGTGATGACGCGGCTGTCGGTGCTGTTTCCAGTGAAGGAAGGAGACGCACGCAGACCCGACCTGCACAGCGAACAGACGGACAAGCATTTAAAGGGGCATTATGCAGAAATCCCGTTTTTGTCAAACAGTGACCCCTAGAGTTACTGTGGAGTACTTGAATTTAACGTTACTGTCGTAAATACCACTCACTCAGAGCGTGACATGGCCTGTTACATAGTATACAATAGTACGTTGTGTTTAATTTGTCGTTTAATGAGATATAATATATGTTGTTAGTGGTGAGAATTTTCAGGTGATTAAATACATAGATCCGACAATTTTAATGGTCCAGAGGCAGAACTTTTGCCAAGTGTGTCAGAGGTTCTGGGTTCTAATCGGTACTAGTAGTATAGTTTATTTTCCTCATCAAAACCGACTGTTTATTAGTGGTTGTATTTCAAGCAGGGACATGTTTTTTGTGCATTAGATTTTGTGATTTCACCTAAACAAAATATAGAGAGTCTCTCAGTCCCCGCAACGGATTCAGGCGCGCGTCACAACAGAACACTGTAACTTATCTGCACCACTGATCGCAGAGGCAACGAGCACTTTGGTCACTTGATTTCAAAAATAACACATTTCAGATCGCCTCTTATTTAACAAACGAACGAAATGAATGCTCTACTAGAGTTACCTGGAGATGTTTTATTTGTTTGTAATGGTAACGTTACATCCGTGCCGCGAGAAGTTTCAATGGGGACATAACACACCCGCAAATTATGCCTATGCTCGTGTCCGACTCCTCGCTCGGTCAGTCTGCCATTTCCTCTTTCTCTGTTCCTCCGACAATGCTTTCCTAGCTTTCTGCATCTTATATGCCGGCTCAGCCATGACGATAGTGTGACAAACTCCATCCATCTATACCTTGTTCCTGTGTGTATGTGTGCAGTTGCCGTAAAGGAATATGTTACATCGCGAGAGCTGATATCACGCGATACTTCCTGACGCGGCCCGCCGCACCGAAGTTGCAAGTGAGATTTTTGCGCTCACAGGCACCAGGGGGGGTCGAGACGCCCACCATTCAACCCGAAAGAAGTTATATAACCATTTCAATAACTCTGAAGCTGTTCAGTTAAGCTAAAAAAGCTGCATAGTGTCCCTTTAATTACAAACGCTGCGGTTTGCAGCACAAGCCAAAACAGTGTCCAGCTTATGGTAAGCTATGCTCTAATTGTCGGGGCAAGAACCATTTTGCAAAGCAGTGTTTCTCAAAAAGAAAAGAGGAGAAGAATAGAAAATCTATAAACATAGTGGAGGACACAGATCTGTGTGAAACATTCTTTGTTGGTATGGTTAACTGTGAAGAGGAAACAGAAAAACAAGTCAATGCTGTCAGAGAGGATAAGTGGACAGCACCATTGGAGATAAATGGGACTATAATAACAATGAAACTGGACACTGGTGCAAAGGCAAACCTGATTAGCACGTCTGACATTAAAGTGATGAAAATGAAACCAAAAATACACAAAGAAATGACAGAGTTGAAAGACTACAATGGACAGAAAATAGAGTGTTTAGGTACATGCAGGCTGAAAGTGACTGTAAAAGAAAAAGTACACCACCTATTCTTCTCTGTTGTTGCTGAGGACCTTGATTCACTACTGGGTGATAAAGCCTGTGAGAATTTGGGGCTGGTAAAAAGAGTGTATTGCATCAACACAGCTGCAAGTACACCGAGTGACACTGTTGACTCCATAACACAGAACTATGAAGATGTTTTTAGAAGTCTTGGTGCACTGCCCTTCACATATAAAATCCAGTTAAAAGAAAATGCACAACCAGTTGTGCATGCTGCACGAAGAGTTCCAGCACCACTGAGAGACCGTTTAAAAAAGGAACTGGACAGGATGACGATGTTGGGTGTGATAAAGAAAGTTGAAGAACCAACCGACTGGGTCAACTCCATGGTGTGCGCAAAGAAAAAGAATGGCGACCTGAGGATATGTATGGACCCAAAGGATCTGAATGAGAACATTAGGCGTGAGCATTTTCAGATACCCAAGCGTGAAGAAATCACAAGTGAGATGAGGTGTGCCAGATATTTCTCAAAACTTGATGCATCACAGGGTTTCTGGCAGCTAAAATTGGATGAAAATAGCACCAAATATTGCACCTTTAACACGCCTTTTGGCAGATACTGCTTCCTCAGACTTCCCTTTGGCATCATCTCAGCATCTGAGATATTTCACAGAGCCATGGAGCATATTATCGAGGGACTAGATGGAGTTCGGGTGTATGTTGATGACATTATCGTGTGGGGCTCCACAGTCCAAGAACATAATGCGAGGCTGACAAAAGTGCTGGAGCAGGTACGCAAGTATGGATTAAAGCTAAACAAGAGCAAATGCCAGTTTGGAGTTGAGGAAATTATCTTTCTGGGAGACAAGCTCTCTGCACAAGGCATTCAACCCGACCAAGAAAAAGTCAATGCCATAATAGACATGCCAAGGCCTACTGACAAGACTGGAGTGTTACGCATCATGGGGATGGTCAATTTCATAGGTAAATTTATTCCAAATTTATCCGCAAAAACATCTTGCATCCGTGAACTCCTACACAAAGAGACTGAGTTTAAATGGACAAGTAGACATGAACATGAATGGCAAAAACTCAAAGAAACACTGACAACTGCACCTGTGTTGGCATTCTACGACCCGACTAAGAGGATCAAAGTGTCGACAGATGCCTCAAAGAACGGAATTGGTGCAGTGCTTCTACAAGCTGAAGGTGAGCATTGGAAACCAGTGGCCTACGCATCCAGGTCCATGACAGAGACTGAGTGTCGATATGCTCAAATAGAAAAAGAATGTCTGGGGCTAGTGTTTGGCCTGGAGAGGTTCCACAGCTACGTTTATGGCCTACCCTCCTTCACAGTGGAGACAGATCATCGTCCACTAGTTGCCATTATCAAAAAGAATTTGAATGAAATGTCACCAAGGATCCAACGTTTAATGATGAAAATGCAGAGGTATGACTTTGAGCTGATCTACACGCCAGGAAAGCACCTGATAATAGCAGATATGCTTTCACGAGCACCTACAAGTAACATCGAAAGTACCACTGAAGAGGATGTTCAGTGTCAAGTGAGCATGGTGTCTTCTGCACTTCCGATATCAGACGCAAAGTCCAGGCAGATAGTTGTTGAAACAGCAAAGGATACAGAGCTGCAGTGTGTTATTAACAACATAGAAAATGGATGGCCTGTAGGTTCCTGCACACAGTTCTATCACATCAGAGGTGAACTCAGTGTCATTGATGGACTGTTGCTGAAGCAAAGCAGAATTGTCATTCCACTAAAGATGAGACATGATGTACTACACAGGATCCATGAAGGCGAAGTCGAGAAATGCAAACGAAGAGCGAAAGAAACAGTTTTTTGGCCTGGAATAAACAAGGACATTGAGAAATTGATCAGTATATGTGAAACATGTCAGAAACACAGGAACAAACAAACCAAAGAGCCTATGCTGGTAACAGAGGTATCAACAACGCCATGGCACAAGGTTGGAATGGATTTGTTTCAGCTTAAAGGAAAGGACTACTTGGTGATCATTGACTATTACTCAAACTTTCCGGAAATGGCTTTGTTGTCAAACACATCATCAAACTGTGGCATAACCCATGCAAAATCCATTTTTGCCAGGCATGGCATACCAAACACTGTAATGAGTGATAATGGACCATGTTTCAGTAGTAAAGAATGGCATGACTTTGCAGAACAGTACGACTTCAAGCATGTGACATCCAGTCCTCTGTATGCGCAGTCAAATGGAAAAGCGGAAAAAGGAGTCCACATTCTCAAACAGCTCCTGAAGAAAGCTGCTGACAGTGGCTCAGATCCTTACCTTGCGCTACTAAGTTACAGAGCATCACCACTGGAGTGCGGACTGTCACCTGCTGAATTGTTGATGAGTCGAAAACTGCGCACTACATTGCCAAGCTACATGAAACAAAACAAAGATTCAAGGCTTGAACTAAATGTCATTGACTAATGACATAGTCAGGATCGAAAATCCTGATGGTTGGAAAACAAAAGCAACTGTTCTTCAGGAAGTAGCTCCAAAATCGTTCACTGTGAGGACTGAGGAAGGACAAATCTTCAGACGTAATCGCCGCAGTCTTCTTAAAACACAAGAGACTTTCCCAGAGCTCGGCAATGCCCATACTGAGTCTGAGTCCATTTCTCCACCTGTCACAGACTGTAACACCATTGCACATACTCCAGGTGAACATGTGCTGAGAAGATCTACCAGAATAAGTAGAAAGCCTGAAAGACTGAATCTGTGATAATAGTAATTGACAGTAATACAATGTTAAAGTAAGAAAATAGGTACAACAGCTGTTCGCTGGTAGTTTGTTTGGTTTATTGTTGAAATGTTTGCCTTAAAGAAAGGGGGATGTGATGATTGGTTGTAATGTCATAGGGTAACAGAGGGGGGCAGTAGTGGGGGCCGGAAAGTTAAAAGCACAATACTGGCATGGATGAATAAAACAGAGAAAATGTTCATGAAAAAGATGCAGTTTATTTCATGCACGACAATGAACAAAACAGGGGTCGTATACAGAATGCTCTTTGTTTACTCACGAAGAACTGAGCTTTGTTTGCAAATCAGGATTCGCCAATTTAGACACATCTGGCCGGATACCCTGTCAGAGTCGCTACATATGTGTGCGTGAATGAAGTTTGATTTAAGCCCTAGACGGCACCTCATATATTGTCGTCTTTTCGCGTGAAATATAACCAAACGAGCGCTTCTGTCTCGATGACATGTTTGCTGCGTTCTGAATCAAAATAACGCAGCGCGTGTGTGACGTCATGACACATTTGCAACGAGAGGAACCGATAAGCGGAATCGTGAAGCAGGCATACTAACGGTTCCAGGGAATTGGTTCACTGGGAACCGGTTCTGAAGAAGAACCGGTTCTCGATTCCCATCCCTAGCCACAACAGTGCCTTTTACTGTCTCTCAACCCTGTTGAACTGGAACTCAAAAGATATGTTGAAAGGCTATGGCAACTTGATGCTTTGCCTTTCCGCTGTGAAAAGCAGGTGACAAGGTCCACCGAGGTCCAGGAGGCTATTAACCTCTTAGAGACCAGGACAACTAGCGTGAAGGTGAATGTAATCTTACGCTATGCGACACCCTTGTTGCTCAGAAAGGAGTCACCCTTCTTTTGTGCTCCAAAAGAGGCTTTGCACTATGACAGGGGAGACCTGGTATATCCTGCACCACTTAGTCAGCCACAATAGTGAGGACCGTATTGTGTTCAATTGCTCTTTCCAATATAAAGGACTGAACCTTAACAATTCCTTGATGGTCCAGCCTTGAGCCCTTCTCTGCTAGGTGCTCTACTTCGTTTCAGGGAGGCTATCAGCGGTGATATACGTGGAATGTTCCACCAAGTTCTAATCCTACCTGAGGACAAGCCCCTCCTGCGCTTTCTCTGGCGTGGCATGAGACGAGACGATCCCCCTGACATCTATGAATTGCAGGTGCTGCCGTTCGGAACCATGTGAAGTCCCTGCTGTGCATCCTTCGCCCTCCAAAGACACTTTTCATCGCACAGCACAGCCGATGAAGGTGTGAGACCTTCCGTTGACCGATGCTTCTATGTGGATAACTGTCTACAGAGCTTAGCATCTGCTCAAAGGCAACGGAGCTACTAGACAAACTTCTTAAGCTGATAGCGTACGTAGGGTTTGATATCCATCAATGGGCCAGCAATGTGCAAGACGTTGTTAGTCACTTGCCACCAGAAGCTAGATCTTACAAGCTAGAGCTGTGGCTTTCACATGATAAACTAGACCCACATGAATCCACCTTGGGACTGAACTGGCACTGTAAATCGGACCATCTAGGATTTAACCCTCTGGGGTCTGAGGTGTTGTCTGGGCCCTGGAGGTGTTCTGAGATGCTCTGACATTTGTGCTTATTTCTGTTACTTGTGACATTTCCATGGCTAAAGTCTGTTTACACTGTATTCAGCACAAACTTTGCTACAATAATACGTCAACAGCATGCATGTAAAAGTTTGTAGTTTTGAGATAGTGACGTTTATTCGTGGTTTGTGAAAAAACTAAAAACTGAAACAAGGTCATGAAACCCATACTGATTATTTCTTCACAAGACTTTTAAAAATTGTATCACGTAGCCTAGAATATTTGCTTCAAAACTATATGAAAATCATCCTGCGTACTCATTCAGATAAAACAATATATTGCTTTAAAATTTGTAAGACATGTTTTGTGTAAGAAAGCTCTATGCGAGGAGGTGAATCATCATGAATATTGATGTGTTTCACACCTGAGAAAGAAAAACTCCAAGGAGGAGCATAGGCCACTGACAATATTTCTCCACCTCGTCCTGTTCTGTGCCAGCTTCTTCAAATCTTGCCATCTGTAGCCAGCTCTTTCCATCTCGGCTGTAACACTCCTCCTCAAGGTGTTTCTTGGTCTCCCTCTACCACGTTTGCCCTGTGGGTTCCACTGCAGGGCTTGGCGTGTGATGGAATATTTCGGTTTCCACAATGTGTGCCCAATCCATCCCCATTTTCGTTTCTTTATTTCCACTTCTATTGCAGGCTGCTTTGCTCTTCCCCACAGCTGATGTTAAGAATACGTCTGAGGCAGTGGTTGGTGACGACTTGTAGCTTGTTCGGGAGGTTCTTTGTTGTTTTCCACGTCTCAGATCCGTAGAGGAGTATGATTTTTATGCTTGAGTCGAAGTGTCAACTAGTCCCTCCCCTGTGAGGGCCTCCCTCCCACCCCTTACCTCTCTACAGATAAAGCGTTGTCTGGAAAATTCCGGTTCGCGTGGCTACGCCAAAGCGATACAAATTGATTCTACATTGCATTCCCAAATAGGTGTTCTTGATGATGGTGGTGAACTTTTCTGGTATGCTGTAGTGTCTCATCAGTTGCCAGAGCACTTCCCTATTCAGACTATCGAAAGCTTTCTCAAAGTCCAGAAATACTGTGTAGAGTGGTGACAAACTCTTGTGACTGCTCAAGGATGATTCGAAGGGTTGCTATTTGGTCGGCACATGATCTATTTTGCCTGAATCCAGCTTGGTTGTCTCTAAGCTCTGCGTCCACTGCTGCCTTGAGGCGTTGCAAGATTATCCGGTTAAGGATTTTGCCTGGTATGGATAGAAGTATTATACCCCTGTACTTGTCGCAGAGGCCTTTCAGAGTTGCCTTTCTTGGGTATTTTTACCAAATGGCCTTCTTTCCATTCCCCAGGCAGGTCTTCTTCCTTCCAGATCCTACCAAACAGGTCATATAATATTTGCGAGGATGTTTCTACATTTGAATTTGAATTGTTTATTGATCCAACAATCAGCTATCTCATATACATATGAGTGCTGTTCTTCCTGTGGTCAAAATCACTATTACATATCAATTTCTACAAAAAAAAAAGAAAAAAAAGCATGCATTCATACAACATACAATCATAAACAAAGACATTTAGTAGAAGATGAACTAAAAAATATTCCTTAATTTAAGTTGGTTACAATTTAAATCAAACTCATGAACTAAGAACCCGTGTATACTTATGTATACTTACAGGGTCAAAATCTTTCACTTATATAACACCGTCTTTAACAAACAGAAATAAAAGTCATATAAGAACTTGTGTAAATAAATACAATTTCAGTTTAATTTTAAAGACCATCTTACTAGCTTCATGTATACTTATAGGGTCAAAATCTTTCACTTATATAACACCTTCTGTAACAAACAGAAAAAAAAGTCATATAAGAACTTGTGTAAATAAATACAATTTCAGTTTAATTTTAAATACCATCTTACTAGCTTCATTGACCAAAAAAATAGGTAAGGAATTCCATGCTCCCATGGCCCTATAGTGAAATGTTCTCTGTCCAGCTCCTGTTTAACCAGGCAGAAGAAATCTTCCCACTGATGACTGACGTGTAACATATTCGTGTCCATCCTGAGAAAACTTAAAATTATTAAATAAAATAACAGGAGTCCTTGTTGTTATGACATTTCTTGCAAAACCAAGAAGAGAATAATATAACCTACTTTTAACTGGTAACCAGTTTAACATATTCAACATATCACAAACTCTAGTTCTATATGAGCAATTAAGCACTATACGAGCAGCTTTGTTTTGTGCCACCTGTAATCGATTAAGGTTATATTCTGATGTATTGGACCATATCACTGTACAATAATCTAACTGAGAGAGAACCAAAGCTTCCATTAATTATTTAATCAAAAGTCTTGGTAAATATATTTTACAATATCTAATTGCAGCCATCGTTCTCCCCATTTTCTTCAACATTTCATCAATCTGATTTGTCCAGGATATACGGCTATCAATCAATACACCAAGTAACCTAACTTGTGTAACCTGTTCTATTTCTATGTCATCTAATTTTAATTGCAATATTGGCTCTACTCTCCCTACCCTCTTAGAACATTATACACAACATTTTGTTTTTTCTATATTAAGTACCAATTTATTTACATTTACCCATCTCCTAATACGCACTAACTCTTCATTTAGAGTCTCTTCAAGCTCTCTTGACGTAAACGCTGATGAATATATGGTAGAATCATCTGCGTACATAGCAATGGATGCATTGTTTAAAACTAAAGGTAAATCATTAGTAAATATTGAAAATAAAAGCGGCCCCAAACAACTCCCCTGGGGCACTCCACAGCTCATAACCTGATTTCTCCAAACTTAAATTAAAAATAGAGACTTCAAGCTTTGTAAAGACATATGTCTCATGTCTTTACATATGAAATATGTAAAGACATATGTTTGTCTGTGTGACAAACATTCGCTGAGTTACAGGTCATTTTCTGTCGAGTCTCAGAATGAACTTCACATTGAGAGAGACGGCATCATGTTTATTTTCTTTATTTTACAAAAAACACAATATTTTGAGTGTATTAGTGTAAATAAAAGACATTTAACAGTTTTGTATGACAAAAATCTGAAAAAAAAAAGTTATTTGA